GGGAGGACGGGGGGCCGGGGAGGTCCAAAATAGTCCAGGAGAGCCTCCAGAGGCTCCCAAGACGGCCCAAGCGGGCCCCGAGTCGCCGAAAGACCGCTCCAGGACGCCCAAGATAGGCCCAAGACGGCCCGAGAGGCCCCCCGAGGCACTCCACGACGCTTCAAGACGCCTCTCCAGAGCGCTGCAAGAGGCCGAAATCGTCAATTTTACGAAGGTTTTCGACCGATTTTGGCCTTCCAGCCTTTTCGGCTGTCCGACGTTCCAAGACGGCTCAAGAGGGCCCCAAGACGGCCCCAGAGTCGCTCAAGACATCCCAACAGAGCCCCAAGACGGCCCCAAGATGCGCCCATGAGGGGGACCACGACTCCAAAATTCGACCCTCCCGCTTGAAGAGTGCCCCAGGAGGCCCCAAGGAGCCCCCCAGAGGCCCCAGGAGGGCCCCACAGGGCACCCAGGAGGCCCAAACGAGGCATAAAGAGGCCACAGAACAGCCCCGAGGAGGACCCACAACGGTCCCAAAACGGCTACCGAGAAGCTGCGAAACTGCCTTCACGACGTCCCCGACAGGCCAACCACGAGATCCAAACCAACACCCATGAGGCCTCTGACCCACCACCCAGGGCACGGTGGCGGGAGCAGTGACAGCACTTGTGCACAGCATGTTCCGGCGGGAGCCTTCCGGAACACGCTGCAGGAGGAGGAAGATCAGGAGGAGAGAGAGAGCTGGAGTGGGAGGAGGAGGGGGGGGACGAGGAGGAGGAAGAGGCCTCCCAGACATCTCCAAGATAGCCGAAGAGGCTTCCAAGAGGGCCCTGGGCGGCCCACGAGGGCTCCAAGGCGCGGTGCCTGATGATCCCAAGACGGCCCTAGAGGGCCCCATGACGGCCCCAAGAGAGGCCCAAGAAGGGAACGAGGAACCGAGAATCCGAGCTTTCTACCCCGAGAGGTTCTCGGGAAGTCCCAAGAGGCCCCCACTCGCATCCAAAAGGCTCCCAAGAAGCTCCCAAGGGGGCCGACGCCAAGGTGGCCCCAAGAGGCACAACTCATTGTTTTACGATTGGGCTTTGACGGTTTTTACTTGTTCCCTGCCTAGGCTCTGCCTAGAAGGGTTCTTACTCTCTGGGCTAAAAGGGGCCGGGCCGTGGAAAGCGCCCCGGGCGGTTCCCCCAGTATCCGCCTCGCGGTTCCCCCAGTTACGTCCCCTTAGCTTAGCGTTGCTTATCTCATCTTAGCTTAGCCGATTCCATCTTAGCTTAGCTTAGCTTCAGCTTAGCTCAGGTTCATCTTAGCTTAGCTTACCTTCATAGCTTACCTTCATCTTAGCTTCGTTGAGCATTCGCATAGCAGAGCACCGCATAGCATAGCATAGCGTAGCATATCATAGCGCATCATGTCATATCATATCATAGCCCAGCATAGCATGGCATAGCGCAGCATAGCATAGCATGGCATAGCGCAGCACAGCACAGCACAGCATAGCACAGCGCAGCATAGCATAGCATAGCAGAGCAGAGCATAGCGCAGCATAGCATGGCATAGCATAGCATAGCATAGCATAGCAGCTAATGCTGCTTTCCTAGGGGCTCCAACTTCTAGGTAGGGTCGCACTGGGGTAATTTCTGCCTTTTGGCATCCCGATGCTCCAAGACGGCCCAAGAGGCTTCCAATACCGCTCCCACATAGAGGAAGAGGCCTCCAAGAGGGCCCCAAGCAGCAGAGCGGTCCCCCCCAAGGCCCACAGGAGGCTGCAAGAGGCCCCCAAGTGGTCCGACGAGGACCCCAAAAGCTTCCCGAGGGCCGAAAAGGCCCCTAGGAGACGTGCAAGAGGCTTTAAAATAGCCCAGGAGTGCCCTCGATGCGTCAAAACTGCTTCCAGGAGGCCCCCGGGAGGCTGCCGGATTGCCTCAATCTGGCCGCAGGTGGCCTCACGTCGGGCCTCCACGCAGCCAAGACGGCCAATGACGGCTTCAGATTGCAGAACCGATGCCCCCAAGGGACCCCCAGACGCCCCCCAAGAAGCACCCAAGAGGTGCCTCCAACAGCCAGTTGACGAAGCATGTGGAACACCCCAGAAGCTCCTCAGATGCCGTCGCGCGCCTGTGTTTGATAGCGTTGTCCAAGATCGTCCAGCGCCCCCCCTGCCTGGGCTAGAACCTGAGCGCGCGCGCGAAGCGCGCGCGATGGTTCTAGTGTGTGTGCGTGTATATATATAGTATATATATATATAGTTATATAGATACGTGCATGTATGTATGTATATATGTATGTGTGGATGTATGTATGTATGTATGCATGCATGCATGCATGCATGTATGCATGAATGCATGCATGCATGCATGCATGTATGTCTGTATGTATGCATGCATGTCTGCACGCATGCCTGTATGCATGCATGCATGTGTGTATGTATGTATGTATGTATGTATGTATGTATGTATGTATGTATGTATGTCTGGTTGTACGTATGTATACATGCAAGTATGTATGTATGTATGTATGTGTGTATGTATGTATGCAGGTATGTATGCATGTATGCATGCATGCATGCATGCATGAATGCATGCATGCATGTATGTATGTCTGTATATAAGGATGTATGTTTGTATGTTTGTGTGTATGTATACATGTATATACGCAGGTGTTTCTGTATGTATGCATGTAACATAACACCCTCGGGGTTGGGCGTATGTTTGGACCTCTTAGGCAAAGCGCCGCCGTCGAGCGAGCAGGTGATATAGTGTTCGCCCGACGGGCCTCGGGAGAGCTCAGGGTGAACACTCCTTCGCTCGATCGTTCCGTAGGTGTACGGCTCAAGCGGTTGCGCCGCAGGTCAGGTCCTGCGGTCTGGAGCTCGAGCGCTTCAGGCACTCTGACCGTACACCTTTCCGCGCCCCCTGGGCCCGACCAGTGCTCGTCCGAGCGGCTGCTGATGGCGGACGACCGCTCGACAGTGCTGACGCCGGGCGAGTGCTTCCGACATCACGTCTTGCATGATGACGGGTCCGACGCGGGCTCTGTTCTTGGCGTGGTGCGCAGAGTGATGTCGGACAACCCAGGGGGCACCGCCTACGAGGTGGAGTACTTTGCTGCTGGTGACCAATATCTGTCATGGTGGCTTAATTCACGCATTGCGAAGCGAGAGAAGATGATCTTACACGTGTGCCGTGGGCCAGTCTCGCGATGTCGCTACACGGCACCGCGGGCGGGGTGCCAGGTGCTCCACACCAGAGCGCCCCAGAGGCTCACGGCCGCTCAGGCAGCCGAGCGGCACATGGCACTGCTCCACCACGATGAGGATTGCCCCGAGCTACCGGCTGATGTCGCTCAGGCCGCCTTAGATGAGGTTGAGGCCGCTGAGGAGGAAGAGGAGCCGCCGCCGAGTCGCGCCGCTATCGCTGGCCCGGCCAGGAAACGCCCCGCCGGCGTAGGCAAGGCTGGGGGCGACCTGGTGGAGCTCGACGGCGACGAGGAGGCCGACGAGGCGGACGCGGAGGCCTTTGCTGAGCTCGACAGGGAGCTCGCAGCGCTTTCAGGCAAGTCCGAAGACGCGAAGGGCTCGGCGAAGGACGGCTACCTGGAGCGCCTCAATAAGTTGCGGGAGAAGCTCGCGACAGTGCGCGGCCCGGAGGCCGCTGCAGGCGGGGCCGCGGCCGCCGCACCCAACAAGAGGGCCAAGTTCGGCGAGGTGGTCCAGGCGAGGATGACTGGACAGGCGCCGAGTGCTGCCGCTGCTGGTCCAGCAGATGGCGGTCGTGCTCGCGGGCCAGGCGAGCGGGCAGTACTGAAGACGCTCGCCGAGTACCTGAGTCGGAAGGGCGACGACGACGACGACGGCCTGTTTGACAGTGATGATGATCGCGTCCCCGGCGGGCGCCCCGTGGCGGCCCGCCGCCTGGCGTGCAAGAAGATAGCGGAGAAGCATCCAGGGCGCCTCTCGGAGAGGGAGATGGAGAACATGGCGCAGTTTGTGGACCATGATATGCTGGAGGTGTGAAAAAAGCATAGCCCCGTGGCGCTCAAGTTTTTGCTCCGGGTGCTGAAGCCTGCGCACCTCATTCGTGAGATTGGCGAGGACCGGTACCGCGAGCTGCGGACGCTCGCGGAGAGTGCGGACCTCATAGTCTCGGGCAAGCCCACTCACGCCTTGGATTTCATCTTCTGCAGGATCAAGGCTATCCAAAAAACCATGCGGGATGGCTATTCGAGGACGGCGAAGTGGTTCGAGCTCATCCCCCCCGACAATGGTGGATTGAGCCTCTCAGTTGAGGACGAGGAGCTCGTCGCGGGCATCGAGGCCGCCGAGGTGCGCATGGCCCAGCTGCTCGGGCGCCTCGGGGGCCGCGGCTAGGGGTCTGGCCGGGGCGGCGGCGAGAGCTTGGCCGACTGCCCTGCAGGCCCGAGCCGTGGTGGAAGCCCGGACAGCAAAGCGTTGCCGATCACCAACATCGGCACTGCCGCGGACGCCGCAGAGTTGCGCAGCCGCTTGGGAGTGCAGCCGCCCAGGGGTCGTGCTCCTGCCCTGGAGGCGGGCCGCGCCGCTCCCCCGCCGGGGGGCGGCTTGCCCGCGCTGACAGACCGCCCGGGCCCCCAGGCGGTGGACGGGAAGCCCTTGTCAGCGTGGGCGGCGGCGCGCGCGAAGACTCCGCGTGCCGAGGGGGGGTCCAGGGGCAGTTCTTCAAGTGCCGGGTGTCGGCCAAGAAAGCGGCGAAGCCGAGCGAGCCGCAGAGGCGGGTCGCGCTGGAGTATTGAACGCGATGAGCGGCGCGGCTATCGGCAGCGAGGTGGCCGCGCTGACGCTGGGCCAGTGGAAGGCGGACATCGCCTCGCGCATGTGCCGCAGCGGCCCAAGCCGAATGACAATGCTGGAGATCGGCTTCGGGATCCTCACCAGCGTTAGGAGAATGCCAAGTTGCATTGGAGATTTCGCTAGAAGGTTCCCTGTGGGCGTCGCGCCACAATCGCCGGAGGCTGGTGTCGGGCGCGATGTGCTGCCCCTGCCAGTAAGGGAGCCGGCAACCTTTATCGCCTGGGAACGTGATCTGAAGAGAAGAGGAATGTTGGACGGTGAGGGATCCCCCGTGGATGTTACGGAGTGGCCAGCTGCTCTAAAGAAGGAGGCCCAAGCCATGGCGGTCGAGGTGTGGACCTTCCTGAGCGTACTGGGCCTGAACTACCTTTACCTTGGCCACCTGAGCAAGGACCGCTGGGAAGCAGCCGGGCGCCTTTCTGAGGTGCAGGCCGCCAGCCTACGTGTGATCGTTGAGACGGGCGAGTGGCGCGTGGGCGATGCGTTGGCGGCGGTGGACATCCCGTTCTGGCCTCAGGAAATGAAGAAGACGAAGTCGAGCTACGACCTGGAGGAGGACTGTCGGGCGCCCCCTCTGAAGTTCGGCGAGCTTGAGCCCGGCCTTCCCAAAGCCGAAGATATCGGCCGCTTGGACGTGCTGGACTATGAGGGGCCAAGGCTCAAGGAGGTGCTCACCAAACCCGAGATGTCGCTCTTGCCGGGGGCCGAGTGGCCCGAGTCGCCCCCGAAGGCAAAGGTCAACGTCGAGAAGCTGGAGGACTGGTGGGCCATCGCTGCCAAGCTGGTGGAGCGTGGATTGCTGGCCCCTATACCAGCTGAGCGCATCTTTGTGGCCCGCGGCCGTCGCGTCACGAACGGTTTGTTTGCAGTGGCGAAGTCGGGGTCCCCAGCTGAGGGAGAGGCCAGAGTGACACGTTTGATTTTCAACATGGTCCCGACGAATACGTACCTTCGACCGTTGGCGGGGGACTCAGTGACTCTGGTACCCTCGCCGGCGTGGGTAAGCATCTCCCTTGGCCCCGAGGAGGTACTGCTCTGGAGTGGGGACGACCAGAAGGGAGCTTTCTTCATGCACCGCATTCCTGCGCCGTGGCTGGGCTACATGGCGATTTGCACCCCAATCCCTGGCCATGTTCTTGGCGTGAAGGCCATGGAGGTGTGGCTGGCCATGACGGTGCTGCCCATGGGCTGGGTGTACAGCGTCCCCATTTTCCAGAGCGTCCACCGGCGGGTTGCGCTTCTGGGTCGCCCTGCTGGCGCCGCCCTCCCAGCTGACCTGGAGTGGCGGCGCGACCGTCCTATCCCCGCCGCTGCAGCTGCTCTCCTGTCTCATGAGGGCCCTCGCGATTGGTGGAGTGTGTACATCGACGACTTCGATATCTGCGAGACGGCTGGATGCAAGGAGGCGCTCGCGAAGGTGGGCACTCCTGGCCGCCTGCAGGCCCAGATGAGGGAGAGCTACCAGCGGAATGCAATCCCCATCAGCGTGGACAAAGCCAACCAGAGGCAGCTCTTGGTCACGCGGATGGGCGTAGAGGTGGACGGGATCTCAGGCAGGGCCGCCAACAACCGGATAAAGAACGTGCAGCTGTACAGCCTTACCATGTGGCTCCTGACGAGAGAGAACCCCCTCGGGAACCAGCTCTTGATTCTCATGGGACGCTGGGTGAGGGCGCTAGATTTTCGACGTCCTCTCTTCGGGGTGTTCAACTCGGTGTGTGAGCAGATTGGCTCGGGCCGCATTGTGTTGACCAGAGCCAGCCCGGGCGAGCTGATACACAGCTGCCTGCTGATGCCCCTCGCCTCCACCAACCTGAGGGCCGCTACCGCGGGCATCGTCTCGTGCTCTGACGCCAGCGACGACGGTGCAGGTATGTGCACGGCCGCGGGGCTCGCAGAGGGGGCCGCGAAGTTCCTGGCATCTCTCGGGAGCCCTGAGACCTGGGGCCATCGCATTGCCAGCTACACCAGCTCGTGCACGATCGAGCCGACCAGGATCGCCCCAGGGGCTCCGCCGCGCGTCCTGTTGGTGAGCTTGTTTGACGGTATCGGCGGTGCTGCTGTGTCGCTGGTGCGCGCTGGTTTCGACATCGTGGGCTACATGAGCAACGAGGTCGATAAAAGGGGCTCGCCGGGTGCTGAGATCGCGCTGGCCTGGCCTGATCGCGCTGGGCCCAGTCGAGGAAATTCACGACCGACAGCTTGAGGCTCTGGCCATGTTCCAGGATCGGATTGTCGCCGTGGTCGTTGCGGGAGGCAGCCCTTGCCAGGACGCGAGCGGTGTGAGCGCCGACCGGCAGGGCGCACATGGCGCTCGGAGCGGCCTGTTCAAGCGCATACCCAAGGTGGTGAGCGCACTTGCTTTCGCCATGAAGGTGCCTGTCCATTGGCTTGCGGAAAATGTACTCTCAATGAGCGCAGAATCCCTCCAGGAGTTCTCCCGCGTCCTCCAGACTAGGCACATCAGCGTGTGCAACTCCCTCTTTACCGAGAATAGAAGGCCACGATTGTACTGGTTGTCTTGGAGAGAGGCAGAGAGGCGGTCCTCAAGCTCCCCGGGGTGCACGTGGAGCCCAAGGCCAACTACGACCTCATCAGGGCGCTCCAGGTCCCGAATGCTCCTGCAAGCTCTTGGGTTGCCTCAGGGTGCTCCAGGGCCTCGGACAAGGGCCCAGTCTGCACGTTTCTCCAGCGGCGGGAGAAGACTGTCCCGCACAAGCCTGCAGGTCTATCGACAGCAAGCCCAGAGGCCATCCAGAGGTGGACCCAGGACCTGCACGCGCACCCTCCGTACCAGTACGAGCTAGTTCACATGATTCGGGACACCAAGGGGGACTTGAGGCCTTTGTGTGCCACGGAGAAGGAGGTGCTCATGGGATTCCCTCGCCACTACTCGTCGTCCGTAGCCAGCTCGGGCTCCAGCCGTGGCAGCGTTGAGAACGATCGCTGCAGCCTCTTGGGGAACGCGTTCGCCTGCTGCGTCGTTAGCTGGCTGTTCCTCGGTCTGAAGTGCCAGTTGGGCTGGCCCGTCAGGGCGACCGACCTCGAGGGGGTCACGAGCGAGTTGGAGGTAACGGACTTACTCGACGAGTCGGTGGAGTTCTCGAAGGACCCCATCAAGGAAACCTCCATCGGCCGCAAGCTGGTCGAGATTTTCTTGACGATTGCCGAGAAGTCGGGGAGCGACATCCGCCTCGACCTCGGCGTGCCTTTCCGCCCCAAGGCGTGGCCGCGATCCTCGATGGACCCGGCGCTGTGGCGCTGGCGGCCGACGCTGTCCTTCCCGTGGCCGAAGTCGTCGAGGGAGCTGCATATCAACGCGCTCGAGTTGAAGGCGGTGAACGCTTCCTTGCGGCACAGGACTCGCACTACCTCGTTCAGGAGCGCGAAGGTTCTGCACCTTGTCGATTCCCAAGTTGTGGCCTCGATACTGACCCGCGGCCGCACGTCATCGGGGAAGCTTCGAGGACTCGCTCGACAGTGCGCTGCTATACTCGTCAGCTCAGACTTGTACGTGGGCGTTGGGTATATCAATACCAAGCTCAACCCAAGTGATCGGGCGTCCAGAGAGTTCTTGACTAAGAAATGGCGCCGAAAAGGGTCCACGTGACAGCTCGCGGCGGCAGGCGTCGCAGCTGGTTGCATGTGCGTTCTCAATTCAGTAAGCGAGGCACGCGGTTGCGCGACCTACAGGTCACTAAAGCCACGCGTGATCGGCATGTTCGATGTGCCGGTCGCCTTTTTGCGTGGTGGAAGGCGCACAGTGTGAAGCTGTCCTCGCTCAACGACATGGACAAAAACCTCAGCTTGTACATAGAAGCGTGTTGGGCAGAGCTGGAGCCGCTTTACCTGGTGGTCAATGCGACAGCGGCTTTGCAGTGGATGATGCCCTCCTTGAAGGGCAATCTGCAGCAGAGTTGGAGCCTGGTTCGAGCGTGGGAGAGGCAGTGCACGCCTTGTCGGGCGACACCGCTCACGGCCGACATGGTCCTAGCCTTGGCAGCTGCAGCGTGGGACCTCGGCTGGGAAGGTCTGGCGACCGTGATGCTCGTCGGTTTCGACACTTTCATGCGCACAGGCGAGCTGCCGGCTCTCAGACGGCGGCACATCCCTGTCAAAGGTGAGCGGGCAGTTATTCACATCGAGGCCTCAAAGATGGGACTGCGAACTGGCTTCTTCAGAAGTGGTTTCTCTCAAAGACGGAGTGTCTCGAAAGATCCTAATATACAGATGCATGCAGCTGGGGTCGGAAGATCTGCTGTGTGGAGCGACGGCGCCTGAAGTTCGAAAGCAGTTGTCCTGGTTGCTTCAGATGTTCGACCTTCAGGACCGAGGGTTCACAATGTACAGCCTCCGCAGAGGAGGTGCGACCGCCCACGTCACCCGCCATAGAAATATGGAATATACTCTTCAACAGGGCTTGTGGGGCGGCACGAAAGTAGCCAGAATGTACTTGTCTCAGGCAGTTGCTGATACCGTCGCTCTCACCCTTCTGCCTAGCACCAAGGATAGAATTCGAGCTGCCGCTCTCCGCTGGAAAGATATTTTAAGACAGCTGAGGTTGTAAGACTTGAATTGTAAATTCGATCCAGTGGTACCTTACCCGATGGCATCAGTTTGAAATAGGTCGACAGAGCCACAATAGGGGGACGTGGAAGGCTCTCGAGGGGTGGCCCCGGGGGTTTAATACGTTAAACTGTGTTTCCTGGTGTTTGCGGGGCCAATTGTACTCGGCGGGCTGCCTTACCCTCTAGGGGTCAGTGCGGCCGGCGAGCCAAGCTCGCTGGCTAGCTCGTTGACCTGCTGGAGGGTGCTGGTGCTCGCCGTGTATGGGCCCCTGCCAGGTCCCGGTGGCCGTTTCTCCTCGACTGTGCTTGAGCCTCGTGCACTTTGAACCTGTGGCGGCGCGACGCCCAAAAAGAGGAAGCCCCAAACATGTAACATAACACCCTCGGGGTTGGGCGTATGTTTGGACCTCTTAGGCAAAGCGCCGCCGTCGAGCGAGCAGGTGATATAGTGTTCGCCCGACGGGCCTCGGGAGAGCTCAGGGTGAACACTCCTTCGCTCGATCGTTCCGTAGGTGTACGGCTCAAGCGGCCCTCCGTCCATCCCCAATTCTGCCACCTTTTAGGTCGGGCTCTCGAGGGGTGGCCCCGGAGGTTTAACACGTTAAACTGTGTTTCCTGATGTTTGCGGGGCCAATTGTACTCGGCGGGCTGCCTTACCCTCTAGGGGTCAGTGCGGCCGGCGAGCCAAGCTCGCTGGCTAGCTCGCTGACCTGCTGGAGGGTGCTGGTGCTCGCCGTGTATGGGCCCCTGCCAGGTCCCGGTGGCCGTTTCTCCTCGAGTGTGCTTGAGCCTCGTGCACTTTGCATTTGTGGCGGCGCGACGCTCAACAAGAGGAAACCCCAAACATATATATGTATACATGCATGTCTGATTGTATGCATGTGTGTATGTATGTGTGTATGTATGTACGTATGTATATATAGACATGTGTGTGTACGAATGTGTGTATGCATGCATGCATGCACGCACACATGCATGCATGCATGTATGTATGTATGCATGTATGTATGTATGCATGTATGCATTCATGTGTGTATGTATGTATGTAGGCATGTATGTATGTATGTAGGCATGCATGTATGTATGTCTGTCCGTCTGTCTGTCTGGCTGTCTGTCTTTCTGTATGTATGTATGTATTTGTGTCTTTATGTATGCATGTATGTATGAGTGCCTGTCTGTCTGCCTGTCTGTCTGTCTGTCTGTCTGTCTGTATGTCTGTTTGTCTGTGTGTATGCATGCATGTATGCATGCATGGATGGATGGATGGATGGATGGATGGATTGATGGATGGATGGATGTATATATACATGTATATATGGACACACGTGTAACTATACAGCTATAGACGTATACAACTATACATCTATGTATACCATGCAACTATAGACGTATACGCCGCCCGCTGGGTCACCAGGAGGTCGCTTCCCAGGCGGTGGCCATGGATGAAAGCCCCCGCCTCGCACCTCGGGACATGGACAAATCATGACGGAATGATTTTCGGTACGTTCGGTTTTCCAGGGCCCCCTGGAAAGGGGGGGCGAGGAGGAGGAGGAGGAGGAGGGAGGAGGAGGAGGCAGGAGGAGAGGAGGAGGAGATGAGGAGAGGAGAAGGAGGAGGAGGAGAGGAGGAGGAGGAGGAGGAGGAGGAGGAGGGGGGGGGGGGGTGGCGGGAGGAGGGCGGAGGCGGAGGAAGAGGGAGGAGGGGGGAGGCGGGGGAAGAGGGAGGAGGAGGAGGCTGGAGGCTGGAAGCGGAGGAGGAGGATGTCTAGGAAGGAGGAGGAGGAAGGGAGGAGGAGGAGGAGGAGGACGAGGAGGACGCGGAGGATCGGTAGGGAAGGAGGAGGAGGAGAGGAGGAGGAGGAGGAGGAGGAGAGGAGGAGAGGGAGGAGAGAGAGAGGAGGGAGGGGGAGGAGGATGGAAGAAGGGAGGGAGGAGGCATGAATCCGAATCTGAATCCAGCTCGTGGAGTTCTGATCATGTCAACAGCCGATCATGGACGACTGCTACCGATCTTAAGCGAACTCTCAGGGTCTTAATCAGACCAGCTACATTGAATACACTAGCGCTCTCGGCCCGGGGCCGCACTGCGCATCTCAAGGGCACCCCCACGAGAACTGCGGGGGCTCTCCGAGGGACCAGGGCCACGGGCTCTTCCCTACCCCGAACTCTCTCCTTCCTCTTCAAAGTGACGGTGGGCGCCTCTCGCACTCGACCGTCGCCTTGCCCCTTCAGAGCTCTGCAAACTTGACAAGCATCCTCGGGCAATCGTCCTGAATTCATTAGCTCCTGAAGTCTTGTGCTCGAGGTGAGCATCGGGGTGATTGTAATGGCCTCCGACCAGTGTCGCCGATCCGGGGCGCTCCTGATGCGTGTGGGAACGGACGATGATGACGACGACGACCGACGATGAGCTCGGCCCCCCCTCCGTCCCCGCTCGAGCTTCCTCCTTGGACCCCCCCCCCCGCTTGAGCTCGAACCCCCCCCCCCGTCCTCGCTCCCCTCGTCCCCGCTCCGAGCTTCCTCCTTGGACCCCCCCCCCCCCATGTGAGCTAGACCCCCCCCAGTCCTCGCTCGAGCTCCCCCTCCCCCCTCCATTCCTGAGACCCCACCCCGCCGCGCTGGAGCTCGACCCCGCCCCCCGTCCTCGCTCGAGCTCCCCCCCCCCCCCCACCCCCCTCGATTCTTGGACCCCCCCTCCCCGCGCTGGAGCGTTCAGTGAATTGCTTGGATAATTCGCCTGATCCCGACCCCCCCCCCAGAGCGAAGCTTGAGCGAGCAAGCCCACGCTCTCAGAAACTCACACGCTGGATCGGCGGATATTCAACCCCAAACTAGCCGAGGCCGATGCTAGCGACACTCCCTGCCCTCCCCCCGCACGCGCAGCAGGGAGGAGACAGGATGCAGGATTGAGGGGGGAGGCGGAGGAGGAGGGAGGCGGTGGAGGAGGAGGGGGAGGAGGAGGAGCAGGAGGAGGAGCAGGAGGAGCACGAGGAGGAGGAGGAGGAGGAGGAGGAGGAGGAGAAGGAGCAGGAGGAGGGGAAGGAGGAGGAGGAGGAGGAGGAGGAGGAGCAGGAGGGAAGGAGGAAGATGAGGAGGAGGAAGAGGAGGAAGAGGAGGAGGAAGAGGAGGAGGAGGAGGAGAAGGAGGAGGAGGAGGAGGAGGACCAGTGTAGACCCAAGACGCAACAACGATGTTGCATTGCACCCTCCTTCCAAGGTCTCTCATGCCCCTACAACAGTGTTATTTTCATTGCGGAAAGTGCCCCATTGAAAGACAACCAGTCTATCAACCGTTTGAGAGTCTTTAATCGCGCCAAAACGCAATTCTTGAGATCTCAACGCCGCGAATCAACGTGACTGTTGAGTCCTGTCACTCCCAAACCGTGCCAGAGTACCATTCCTGGGACTTCCGCACTGCGACTCAACGCGCCTGTTGCGTCAGGACAATCCTTTGCCGCGCCAGAACGCAATTCTCCGGATTTTGTAAAGGAGCCGCCCTCCATCCGCGAAGCTATGGCGAGGTTTTGAGACGAATGTCCGCGGCTCTGCGGCGAGAGCTATATCTTGAAAACCACCCGCCCTTCATCTGTGAAACTGTGGCAATGTTGTAAGACGAATGTTCGCGGCGCTGCGGCGAGAGCTCATCTTGAAAATGGGCTGCCCTCCATTCATGAAACTGCTGCACACGTGTACGACGAATGTGCGCGGCGCTAAGGCGAGAGCCACATTTTGAAAAGCACCTGCCCTCCATCTGCAAACTATTGCAAACTTTTGCGACAAATGTGCGCGGCGCAAAGGCGCGATCCACATTTCGACCCCCCCCCCGCCCTCCATCCATGAAACAGTTGTTAACTCTGCAGACGAATGTGCCCGGCGCTATTGTGAGAGCCACATTTTCAGAAGTACCACCTCTCCATCCTTGTAACTTGAAGCTGTCGCTAGCTTTTGAAACGGATGTGCGGCGTGAACGCGAGAACCATGAACCAGTTGCAAAGCTCAAGCTTCAGGAACATAATTAGTGAGGACATGTCAGCCGAAGCGCCTGGGCCGCCCTACACACACGTCTGGGTGGGCGACAGGGAGGAGTTATTCATACGAAAAGGGACAGGAGGAGCCGGAGGAAGAGGAGGCGGTGGACGTAGAGGCAGTTAAAAAACGATGAATGGTCGGAGAAGGAGGAGTTGGAGGAGGAGGAGGAGGAGGAGGAGGAGGAGGAGGAGGTGGTGGAGGAGGAGGAGGAGGAGGGAGGAGGAGGGGGGGGGGAAAAATGACAACGACGACGAGGAGGAGGAGAAGGAGGAGCAGGAGGAGGAGCAGGAGGAGCACGAGGAGGAGGAGGAGGAGGAGGAGGAGGAGGAGGAGGAGGAGGAGGAGGAGGAGGAGGGGGGAAGGCAGGCTGAGACGAGGAGGAGGAACGACGCTGGCGACGAAGACGAGCCCCGAAGGGCCTCCGCATCGCCGGGAAAGCCGCGCCCCTGGCGGCCCAGGGCGTCCGCGTCGCCGGGAAAGCCGCGGCCCCGGCGGCTCAGGGCGTCCGTGTCGCCGGGAAAGCCGCGGCGCCTGCTTCTCCCGATGACGCTGGGCGCGACGCGGAGGACCGTTCTTCGGGTCCCAACCGGGTGAGGATGAGGATGAGAATGAGGGAGGATGCTGATGACGATGATGGTGATGGTGTTGCTGATGATGACGATTTTTGTGATGATGCTGACGACGGGGATGCTGATGGTAATGATGATGACGATGGGGAAGCTGGTATTGATGAATATGAGGATGATGATAACGATGATAATGGCGACGGCGACGATGACGACGATAGTGACTATGATGGTGCTGATGATGATGCTGATGATGATGCTGATGATGATGATGACGATGATGCTGCTGATGATGCTGATGATGGTGTTGATGATGATGCTACTGAAGACGATGACGATGGTGATGCTGATGACGATGACGATGATGCTGATGATGATGATGATGCTGATGATGATGATGATGATGATGACGATGACGATGACGATGATGATGATGATGATGCTGATGCTGCTGATGATGATGATGATGATGATGATGATGATGATGATGATCATGAAAATGATGGTAACGATAGCGATGATGATTGCGCCGTCGCCGCCGACGACGATGATGGTGGTGGTGATGATGATGCTGATGATGATGCTGCTGATGATGATGATGTTGGTGATGATGCAGCTGTTGATGCTTTTGACGATGCTGACGACGGTGGTGATTACGAACTATGATGGTGATCGTGCTTATGGGTGTGCTGATGAGTATGCAGAAAGAGCAGGAAGAGGAAGAGGATGAGGAAGAGGAGGATCACCTCTTGCCCCCTCGTCGTGTCCTTCGCGGGGCGCGATGCGCGAACCGAGGCGACCTATGTATGATAGGCTTTGGTCGGTGACTCCTCGATGCCTACATTGGTCATGCGAGGGAGCGGGCGGCGGGGGGGCAGACTGAGTCCACTGACGTGCTCTAGCTGCTTACGTTTACTTTAGCGGATAGCCGTACAGTCCAGACGTTGGAGCAAGCTGCGTTGAAGCTTCGGACAGGGGCTCGCTGATCCTTGGGTCCTTCACTTAGTCGACTGTATTCCGCGCCGCTCGATGCTCTCGGTGCTGTCGCTCCGCTAGGGGGCCCCAACGCGTGGCGCTCCTCATCCTACACGTGAGCAGGTAACACGACATCTTCGCTGTTCTGGCTCAGCATGGGCGTTTTGCTGCCGACAGGGCCACGCACCTTGCGCGAGAATGCGAAACGCGCTCTGGCCAACGCGCCGCGGACATCTTTCCTGAGTGTGGGCGCCTCCGCGGGTGGTGGGGTGGGGCGCACCTCTCTTGCCCGACAAGTCCCTCCCGGGCGCGCGTGCTCGCTAGGAGGCCAGACGCCAGACACTACTTTCTTTGGATCGCCAAGTCGTGCCGCGCGGTTCAGTCCTCACAGTTGCGCTCCCGCATCTGGTGTATCGTGTCGTCTTGAGACTACGGTAGTCGGACTTAGGAGAAGGAGGAGGAGGAGGAGGAGGAAGGCAAAGAGCAGGACAAGGACGAGGAGGAGGAGGAGGAGGAGGAGGAGGAGGAGGGGGAGAAAGAGGAGGGGGAGGGCAGAAGGAGGGGGAGGAGGAGTGAGAGTTGAGACAGCGGTAGTTGGCCTTCGTGGGGCTCCACGTCGTCGTCACGGCCAGACGTAGTTCGGCAAGCCGGTACGTTTTTAGACCCTGGGAAGGGTCCAAGGATCGATTTTGAGCTGCCGTTGACCCATTTCGCGCTGCTCCGAGGTTACCTGTTTCGATTTTCGTTTGATGAATCCCGTATGTGTTCCGCTGATTTTGGGCCCAGCGTGAGTATTTCTGCCCTTGGGGTGGGTTGGGGTGGGGTGGTAGGGGGTGGGGTGTGTAGCATCAATTTGCGCCGCATTTTTTTCTTTGCTTTCCGTACCAGGCGAGCACGCCGCGAGCACACTGCGGGGCGTCGTGGCGACCGAATGCCGCTCCGTCGCGCCCGAGTTTTCGCCCGCCGATCGCATCGATGACATGCGCGAGGCGCGATACGGCGACCGCGCCGAGCGTACGCTCAAGGTCGCCCCATCCCCCCTGCTCGGAAGAGCACGCCCCGCGTCGTGGAGCCGCCGGTGCGCCGGTGCCTGCCTCTGCGCGGTGGGCGGACGGGGGACGGCGGCGTCTCCTGCTCCTGGCCCTGGCTTCGGGTCGGGCCTGTCCCTCTACAGGGGGAAGATTCAAAGATAGTAAAGAAATAGTCGGGGGACGATTTTTGGGGCATTTTTTGACCATTTCGAAATACTTTTGGGATTTTCATGTTTTCGTCCAAAATCCGCCTGTAGGGAGACATGCTCGACCTAATCCTAGCCTGGGCCTTCCAATGTTCGATGTCTGATGGCTTTCGCCCCGGCAACGGTATCGTTTTTTGCGCGCGCCAGCGTTTTCTTCCGCGGAGTCTGGGCCCCTGGCGCGATTGGCCGATCGATCCCCGTCGCGGGACACATTTGGTGACGCGGTGGGCCGCCGCAAAAGCCATCGATGCAGCGCCAGCCGCGCAAAGGCGCTTGCGCAGATTCGACCACGGCCGCCATCGTGCCAGGGTTGCGGGTATGAGGCCTATTGGATGTTCGTTGGGATCTCGTGGGAGGCCTCTCGGAGGCCTCCTGGAGGCAGTTCAGAGGTCTCTTGGGCGGCCGTTTGGGGGCCTCCTGAGGGGCCTCTTTTGGGCCTCTCTTGGGGCCTCCTGGGGGGCCTCTTGGGGCGGAAGGCTCGGATTTTCGGTTCGTGTTCCCTCTCTTGGGCCCCTCTTGGGGCCCTCTCGGGTGGTCTTGGGTGCCTCTTCGGCCGTCTTGGGGCGCTCCTAGGCCTCCTGGGGGCCCTCTTGGAGGCCTTTGTGGCAGTTCCGGGGTGATTTAGGGGGCCTCTCGGACCGTCTTGAAACGCCAGAATGCCGAACAGGCGAGAACGCCCACATTCTTCAAACAAGTAAGGCAAATACCTGTATTTTGCCTCTTCGGGCCCTCTTGGGAGGCCTCCTGGAGGCCTCTTGGGGCGTCGTGGAGGCCTGTTGGGCCATCTTGAGGCCATGTCTTGGGGGCGTCTTGGGCCGATCTTTGGGCGCCTCGGGGCCCTCTTGGACCGTCTTGAGGGCCTCGTGGGGCCCTCGTTGTCCCGTCTTGGGGCCCTCTCGGGCCCACAGAGTCGTGCGAGAGCAGTTCCTGGAGCCCACGGGGCACGCGGGAAGCCCCCCGGGGGCACGCGGGACGCCCCGGGAGATTTGAGAGTTTGGGCTTCTGGGTCCTGTAAAGATGCCTGAGCAGTGAGGATCGAGGCTTAGAGGATTACGGTAGGTCTGCGTCGTGTCGACCGGCGGCGACCCCGCCAGCGGCGTTCAAGCTTGAACGCCGCGGGCGACCCAGAATCGGTCGATGTTGAACGATTGGACGTTGCGGGAACGGCCGATCGTTCAAGGTTGAACGATCCCTGCGGTGTCAAAACCCAACGCTGGGGTCGGCACGACACGAACCTGCCGTAGGCGAAGGGCCTGAGGACACGCCCACTCCTTGCCGAGAGGCACGATGGAGGATTTGAAATATTGTCGAGACGGGTGACAGTCAGGAGGGAGACACAGGCACATGCGCAAATTATAAGCTCGATGTCCAAAAGCAGACGGGAAGCCATGGGAAGTGGAGTGGAATAGTAACACATTGGAAATTATGGGGAATCCTAAAATTTTGTCCTGTTTGTTTGTGCCCCCCTGGGCGCCTCTAGACAGGGGTGCATCAACCGCCCGAGGCCTCGACGTCCAGCCCGACGCCCAGCCCGACGCCCAGCCCGACGCGATCTCCGACGAAGGCTCAGCGCCTGCCACCCCTGAGGGAGGGGTTATGGGAGGGCTCCCTGGCGAGAAAACCCCCTCCTAACCCGCTGAGGGGGGGGTTCAGCGGGAAGAAGACACCGAACCCCTCTAACCCCCCTCAGCCCCGGGGTGGGGATCCGAAAGGGCTGCAGGGAGGAAATCCCCTCACCCTCCGAAGCCCTCCTTGAAGCATGTTACTAATTAGCGGAAAAACAGCCCAACCCCACAATTCCCTCCGAGGGGGGATTCTGAGATGTCTCCGGGGAGAAAGCACGAGGGTGGCAGTTGGGACGAGGAATGTCGAGCGCGTGTCTCATGACGGAATCGTTGGGCTCATGTTCCAGTGCACCCTGCCTCCGTGAGCGCACGGGCCCCGTGCAGTGCTCCAGCCGGGCGGGCCCCAGCTGGATCCAGACGTGCGATGCCCGGACTTTTGGAGCACGGGGTCCCCGAAGGTCACGAACCTGTCCCTTGGCATCGCTCGGACGTGTGCGTTTTTTTCTCGGCGAGAACCATCGAGGACCATCCTGGACCATCGAGCAAACAAAAAAAGCACGCACGAAACCGACACATGCACGGGACATGGACATCCGAGCGACGGCAGGGTCCTCGGGGCAGGCTTTCCCTCGCGAGCCGTCTTCCGACGGCCCCGGGGCCGAGCAACGGCCCAGGAGGCCCGTCGTGAGCTCTTCAGGGCGGCAGCGCGCCAGGGGAAGCGTGGGGTCCGGGGCCCGGCGTGACAGGCCCAGGCCTCGGAGGCGGAGTGCCTCGGGAGGGTGCGGGGAGGCTGGGGCACAGTGGCTGGGGTCAGCCTTCAAGTCGTTGAACAGCGCTGGCCAGTGTTAAGGGCGTTCCTGTCCCTCTACAGGGGGACTAACCACAAATAGTCAAAAACATAGTCTGGGGTCTCTTTTTTGGGTATGTTTGGGCATCTTCCGTTTTTTATTATTATGATTATTTTTCATGTTTCGTCCAAAATCCCCCTGTAGGGGGACAGGCCCGACCTAAGGCCAGTGCTTTCTCTTCACCTCCTTCCCAGCCCTGGCGACCTCGCCCCAGCTGTTTTCCTGGACCGTGCTTTGCCCCTGCCTGCTTTCCTCTGCCCCGGCCGCTTCCACCCCCATGGAACCTCCAGTTTCGCTTATTGTCCCAGCCTTTCTTCACCGAGCGCGTTCCGCCACTCGCAAGGTGCCCACTCGCAAGCGTTCGAGAACAAGACAGTCCTCCTGCATGTAATGGATCGTCCATCCCCCGCGGCGGATCCGGGCCGCTTGCGAGCAGTTCCTGTGCGAGCAGCAGAGCGCGCTTGCGCACTTCTGCACCGGGCCGAGCCTGCACCGCTCAGGGCGCCCTTCCAGGGCCGCCCACGCTCCGATCGGCCCCGGCTCTCGGGGCCCGCTCCTGGCCGGGCGCGGCCATCCGCTTCCCGTGCGGCCCGCCACGGCTCGCGGGCAAGAACCGACCCGTGTCCGACCGCCTAATCGCTCTCGCGCTGCTCCCCCGGCCTGCCCTCGCCCCCCCCCTCGCCCCCGGCCCCCGTGCCTCTCGGCCTCTGCCGTGCCCTGTGAAGAGCGCGCGCGGCGAGCGAGAGGCGCCCGCGGCAGCGGCGCCGGCGCTGGGCACGCCGCTGGGCGCCAGCAGGGACGCCGCGCCCAGCCCGCCGCCCAGCACGACGTCCAGCGCGGCGGCTTCCGGCGCGCCGCCCAGCACGGAGGATCGGCGCCCGCCTTCATGTCGTCGGCTCCGTCGTTGTCGTCGTCATCGCAGCCGTCGTCGTCGTCGTCGTCGTCGTCGTCGTCGTCGTCGTCGTCGTCGTCGTCGTCGTCGTCGTCGTTGCGCCGTCGCCGCCGTCATCGTCGATCTGCCCATCGGCGTCGCCGCCGTTCTGCCCTGGGCTGCTCACTGCAGGTGTCTGCGTCGCTGCCGCACCCGCCGCCGTGCCGACCGCTTGTCGGGGCCCGCAGCGACCGATCGCCCGCCCTCGCCCCGCCACGCCGTCCCAGATCCCCGATGATGTTTTCTCGTTCAATACCGGCGTCAGGAGGAGGTGCAGGAGGGGTAGGGGGAGGAGGAGGAGGAGGAGGAGGAGGAGGAGGAGGAGGAGCAGGAGGAGGAGGAGGAGCAGGAGAGGAGGAGGAAGGGACGAGGACGAGGAGGAGAAGGAGGAAGAGGAGGAGGAGGAGGAGGAGGAGGAGAAGGAGAGGAGGAGGAGGAGGAGGAAGAAAAGGGAAGGAGGAGGAGGAGTAGGGAGA